GGGAAAGAGAAGGCAGCATCACCATGGAGTCCCCTTCAGCCTCTGCTCACAGAGGGCTTGTCCCCTGGCAGGGGCTCCTGCTGGCCAGTAAGGAGTGGACAATTCCTGGGGGTGGATGGGAGGATGGGGGACAGAGACTGGTTAAGATCTCCTGAGGAGGACAGCCTCTGGGAGAAAAGGGAGGCTGATATGTGGACCTGAAGGGAAAGGCCAGGGGAGCAGAGCAGGATGGGGGAGGGAGTTCAACAATACCATCTCAGGATTTGAAAGTGGTGAAGGGCAGGAAAACCTTGATTGCTGTTCATTTCTTAAGCTATTCCTTACTGAGTATTGAATTTTGTAGGCTGATTATAATAATAACAATTTATGTGAGGAGACACCAGAAAAACCAGGGACACTACGCGTTGTCTTTGCCACCAACCTCAGAAATGGGCACATGCACCCCAGGAGGGTGCAGGACCCTGGGATTCATTCATTTACCCACAGGCATTTCAGCCTGCTGCAGGCCCTGGGGATACAACAAATCAGACAAGCCCCTTCCCTGATGGAGCTCACCTTCTACAGAGAGGAGACAGACAAGGAAAGATCTAGATGTGAGGTCAGGGACCCACAAGTGCCATGAGCTGAACAGAATAGTGACAGGTCAGAAAATGGAGACACTGGGTTTTTAGAGGAGGTGGTCACCACAGGTGTCTCCCAAGGACATTCTGAGTGTCATCAGGAGTCTTAGGGCAGTGAGAAGGTGAGCCAGGCAGACACCTGAAGAAGAGTATTCAAAACAAACTAACAAAAATAACAGGTTCCGAGGTGCTGACGTATTGGTGGCCGTGCTGCTGACCTTGGCCATGGGCACCACATGCACTCAAACACAGACAAAGGCGAAGAGATGAAGAGATGAAGAGACTTGCTCCATATAAAGGGCCGCATCTTCCCATTCCAATACATAGATCCAAATATTGACCCATTTCTCTTTTCTCTTCTAGTCTCACTCTTAACCTTCTGGAGCCCGCCCACCACTGCCCAGCTCGCTATTGTGCCGACCAATGCTGCCGAAGGGAAGGATGTGCTTCTGCGTATCCGCAACAAGCCTCCGGATGCTGTGGTCTTTCTGTGGTACAGGGGGGAAGGGGCGAGATCCCATCGGAATATTGCATCTATTGTAGTGGACTTAAGAGTACACGCATTAGGGCCTGCATACAGCGGTCGAGAGAAAGTAAACAGTGATGGATCCATGCTGTTAAAGAGGGTCACACGGAAGGACACAGGATACTACACCATAGTAGCCCACCTTCGAGATTCAAAAAAAGAAATAGGATTTGGACGGCTCCGTGTATACCGTGAGTGATTGCTCTCTGACCTCTGGGTGTTGGGTGGGTGAATTTCACTTCACACACAGAACTAATAGCCCTGGACCCTGCTCCACCCCCCTCTGCCTCACATTCAGGGTTGGGTTTGGGCATTTAGTGCAGGACACACACAGTGGAGACAAACTTCCTAAGGTCAGAGTTCCCTTCCCGGATCCCAGCCCTGAAGACATTCTCCACAGAGAGAAGGGCCAGTCTGATAGGAGTGACTCAGCAGAGGGAGGCCAGTCTCAGTCCAGGCCTCTGGGCCCCTCCCCATGACCATGACCCTGGGAAAGACCCTGCAGGGCTCGGTCAGAGCCTGGCATGGAATCCTCATAGAGTAAGTCAGCTAAGGAAGCCCCTTCCCAGGCCCTTCTCCTAGAGCTCCTGACCCCAAGGACCCTGGGGAGTGTGTGTCAGGTTGGGTTTGAGCTCCTGGCAAGGGCTGACTGAGTTCAATGGTTTCCTGAGTGTCTGAGTCACAAAGTTTCTGAGCTGGTCATCAGTCAGGGGTCAGTCCCAAAAAGGTACATCTGGGCAAAAATGGAGTCTGGTCCTTCACCTGAGGCTATGTGTGAAGTGCACAGCTAGATAAGGTCCCCAGGTCATTAGACGACTATTCTGGGTGACTTTGGAGAGTGAAGCAAAAGGTAAGTATCCCCAGGGAGGAACAGAGGCGAAAAGATGCTCATGGAAGCTCCTCACACAGCAGGGACCAGCCGAAGGGATTCTCTCTTAGAGTTGATGAAGAAGAGATACCGCTTGTTTGAGCATCTTTAGTCAGATACTGTGAATATTTCATGATTAATACATTGACAATCTGGCAGCCAAATATCTACCCGCCTTCATTGAGAGGAAACCGAGGCATAGGTAGATACAGTCACTAAAGCGGAGTTCCACAGACCATGAGCAGCTGATCAGAGTCATCTGAGGTCTGTCTGCAGCCAGAGCCCCATCCTTTCCTCCACCCCAGGGGCCTATTAGGTATCTGTGGTTCCCTAGACCAACCATTGGTTCAGATCCTTCCTTCTTAGGCGTCCTCAGCTCAGAGGGAGAGATTCTGGTCTGGGGAAGGAAAGGAAATGGAGAATTAAATTGTTTTAACTCCAAAATCAAATTACCTGCAGTAAAAATCAGAGTCAATCTTGGAACGTCCAGGCCCTCTCCTCAGGTGGCTGATCCACGCTTCCCTGCCCTGGACTTGAATCCACTTATTTGTTTCCTGATGTGTTAGTGTCACTCCCACTGGATATAAAGGAAAGGACTTTGCCTGCTCACTCCTCACTCTACACTTACAACCAGTTCAGGGACCATCATGTAACACTCAGTTGCTTTTGATGAATTAAGAAAAATAAATGGTGATTGAATGGATGAATGAATAAATGATCCAAAATCTCTTCAGAAACTGGAACCTGGATGCAGAGTCCTTAAAATTCTGGCCATGAAGGACAAATCCCCTGTCCGTGCCCCATGTCTCAGATCCTTTGCTGCCCTTTAGAGAAATAGTCCTTCTAACAATTGGAATATTAATAATAAATTTCACACATGGAAGATTTTAAATTATTTCCAAATTTATATCGCATAAACACCAAACACAAATGGTTCACAAGGGCCAGAATTTCAGCAAGTCCATGCTACCCTATTGCTGTCCCTCACCCTTTCTGTATCTGCCCTCAGCAGAGGGAAAATGACTTTAATGACCAAGCTTTGGCCTGTGCTCACTCTTTTCTAGCTCATTCCTCAGACTCTGCTCTATGATTTATTGGCTCACTGGCTCATGTCAGTCACACTGACCTGGGAAGGCCTGCTCCACCTCTTGGCCCAGGGGCCTGAGAAGTCAACTGACCATGGGGTTGCTCCTGGTACCCATGTGTTATTTCTCCTCAAATCCCGGGCTATAGGATGTTCTGAAAATGGTGTTTCATAGAAACACACTTCGGCTGGACAATGGAGGTCTGTGCAGCTGGAAGGAATGGTCCCCTGTCAGCCAGTCAGTCAACTGGTCTGTGAAAATCCGGAAGAAATCTGGGGTGGTCTCTGTCTCCCAGTCTTTTTTAAAAAATATATATTTTATTGATTTTTTTACAGAGAGGAAGGGAGAGGGTTAGACAGTTAGAAACATTGATGAGAGAGAAACATCGATCAGCTGCCTCCTGCACACTCCCCACTGGGGCTGTGCCCGCAATCAAGGTAAATGCCCTTGACCGGAATCGAAACTGGGACCCTTGAGTCTGCAGGCCGATGCACTATCCACTGAGCCAAACCGGTCAGGGCTCTGTCTCCCAGTCTTATGTCTTTCCATGATCAAACCCTGACACTACACTGACACCTGAGAAAGTCTGTACTTCCTCCCGTTCACAGAGCTGGAGGCCTTACGTTCCCTGAGCACTCAGATCCTCATGCATTTGTCTTGTGATACACAACACAGATCTGCCATGTTCTTTTAAGGACTCAAGTTGGCTGAGAGGTGAGAGGTCCAATTCTGATTGAAGAAGCCTTTGGAGGACTCAAAGGTACCACACAGGGCAGTTCTCTCTGTCACCTTCACAATCGGGTACCCACACCCAACATCACAAGCAACAACTCCAACCTTGAGAGTTTTGATTTGCATTTTTGTGTGATAGTGTTGTTGAACATCTTTTCCTGTGTTTGTTGGCCATTTGTGTATCTTCTCTGGGGAAATGCCTATTCCAGTGATGGCAAACCTATGACACGCAAACTCATTTTTTTGGTTGATTTTTCTTTGTTAAATGGCATTTAAATATATAAAATAAATATCAAAAATATAAGTCTTTGTTTTACTATGGTTGCAAAGATAAAAAAAACTTCTATATGTGACACGGCACCAGAGTTAAGTTAGGGTTTTTCAAAATGCTGACACGCCGAGCTCAAAAGGTTCACCATCACTGGCCTATTCAAATGCTTTGCCTGTTTTTAAAATCAGGTTATTTGGTTCTGTTGTTGTTGTTTTATTGTATGAGTTCTTTGTATATTCTAGATATTAACCCCTCATCTTATATATGATTTTCAAAATATTTTATCTCATTCCATAGGTCACTTTTCACTCTATTTTGTCCCTTGTTAAACAAAATTTTTTCATTTTGACAAAATCCAATTTAATCTAATTTTTTGCCTGTGTTCTTAGTGTCATGTTTAAGAAATAATTGCCAAATCCAATGTCATAATGCTTCCCCTTAAGAGTTTTATAATTTTAGGTCTCACATTTAGGATTCCATCCATTTTGACTGAATTTTTGTGTCTGGTATAAGCAACAGTCCACTGCATTTGTTTTGCATGTGGATATGGCTGTTCAACACCATTTGTTGAAAAGACTGCCCTCTCTCCACCCAACCATTTGATTGTGTCTTTTGGTGAATAGAAGTTCTTGTGCCCCTGTCACACTATTCTGGTTACTTTAGCTCTATAGTAAGCTTTCAAATTAGAAAGTACGAAACTTCCAATTTCATTCTTCTTCTGTAAGATTGTTGAGACCATTTGGGGGTCCACTGAAATTCCACTTGTATTCTAGGATGTATTTTTCTATTTCTGAAAAAAAAAAAAGTCAGTGGGGTTTTTATAAGTACTGTGTTAAACATGTAGATAAGTCAGGGTCTTCCAATCTATGGACATGAATGTCTTCTCATGTATTTGTTTCTTCTTTACTTTCTTTCAGGAACACTTAGTAATGTTCAGTGTATGCATTTTCCTTCTTATGAATTAAGTTTATTCCTAAGTATTCTATTCTTTCTGATGCTATTTTAAATGGAACTGTTTTCTTAAGGAGAAATGATGCTGTTGATTTTGTCTCCTGTAACTTTACCTTATTTATTCTTTCTAACAAAGTGTGTGTGTGTGTGTGTGTGTTTGTGTGTGTGTGTGTGTGTGTGTGTGTGTGTTGTGTGTGTGTGTGGTAATCTTTAGGGTTTTCTACATGTAAGATTATGTTGTCTTTCTTAAAAGATTATTTTCTTCTTTTTTTTCAATTTGGGTATTTCTTATTTTATCTTCCTGCCTAGTTTTTCTGACCAGGACTTCCAGTACTACTTCCAGCAGCATCTTGTCTTGTTCACGATCTTAGTAACATTTTCTGAATATCTTCATGGAGTATTGTGGTCTTTCATGTATGGCCTTGACCATATCAAGTAGTTTCCTTATATTTCAACTTTTTTAAAGATAATAACCACTTCTCTAGCAATTTTGTTCATGGTGCTATTCAATCTGCTGGCCAGAAAATAAAGTCCTGTGCAGACTGAGGAATGGAACTTTAGATGGAACTTCTTCTGCTCCAAGGTCATAAAGACTGGGGTGGACCATCTTTATTGCCTATTATTTAACAAGGGGTAAACGTTTTTTGTTTTTTATAACTTTCTGTAAAGTTCCCTTGGCCCCAGAGATGGACATATATGGTAAGCCCACATTCTCTAACATATATGTAAGTTTACATGAAAAGTGGGACCTGATCATATTTAAAGTCAAATAAAGTTTTAGGGGGAAAATCAATAAAAGCTTATGAAAGGTTTATCTTGATGATGAGGTTATTGTACTCGTGGGCTGGAAAGGGTTTCATGTGCTGATACTACAGAGATGTCTGTGGGAACAGGTCAGGGGTCACCCTGGTGTGATCTGGGGTCAGAGAGAAGGTGCAGCCTTCCTTCTAACACATTGTCACCTGAACAAAGACAGTGGTCCTTCTCCAGAGGCCAGGACCATCCTCTGGTGACCTTACAACTGGACGGTGAGAGCCTGAGATGTCTGATTTATTTTCATGGCCCCACGCCCCAAGCCCACTCTCAATAAGTCATACCCTCTGTGTCTCTGCAGAGCCTGTGAGAGTGCCCACCCTCCTAGCCAGCAACACCACAGTCATGGAGCATAAGGATTCCGTGGTCCTCACCTGCTACACAAATGCAGTCTCCACCCAGTGGTTCTTCAATGGCATGAATCTGAGGCTGACGGAGCGGATGAAGCTGTCCTGGAACAACAGAACCCTCACCATAGACCCTGTCAGGAGGGAGGATGCTGGGAATTACCAGTGTGAAGTGTCCAACCCCATCAGTTCCACTGAAAGTGTGCCGGTTGAGCTGGATGTAAAATATTAGTGACCCTCCTCCTCTCCTATATGTTACTAAACTCTGAATAATTTTTTGTGCCCTTTAAACAGATTTGTTGTGAGGGTGGAGAGTCCTTAGAAGACTTACATTGAGTCAATAAACACACAAAAATCAGAGCTGACGTTGTCATTATTTTTTACTTAAGGCCGCATTCCACACAGGATCACACCTCTGATTTGTTTTAGTTGCACCATCTCCACAGCGGAGGTAACACTGAGTCCCTCAGAGGATGGTCAGTGGTTGTGTGATGACTAGTGGGAGTATGTGATGAGGTCACAGGAATTTGAGCTCTGTCCCTCTTTCAGGGGGGCCAGTTGAGGGTGCCTGGACACTGTTGTTGGCAACAGAAATACACAGAAGGACACCCATGTTGGTAGCAATACTGACCTTTTTTTCTCCCTGTTTGACTTCTCCCCCAAAAATTTCTTAAGTATTCTTGGGTATTTTTATTTTCATGGCAATAGACTTATTTGCATATGTTAAATACGACTTTATTCTCCTTGTTAATAGGCTATAATTGGAAATGTTGCTAATACAACCAAGGCTTTGGCTGAAATATCCCAGTTCAATGAGATGCCCACAGAATTAGAAATGACATCACCCTTCATGGAGCTAAGTTTGACCTGAGGGGGTCCTTTGGGATCTCTTGGAGAAGAGGGCATCCCCCAAAGCTAGAGAGACTGCAGGCTAGAGAAGCCTCTTGAGGCTGTTAGAACTCCCATTTTAGGTTTCATAGAAACACCTGAATCAGAGCAAACTATGGGGTGAATGTCATTCCTCTGCACTCAGGTCACTTAATCAGGCCAATCAAGTGACATCAGCCATGTTGGAGGATGGAGAATACTCTTCTTCCTTGAAGATGTCATTTCCTCAAAGGGAAGGTGACTGTAGAGAGCAATGTCTTTCTTCATGGAAAGCCCAGCCTTCTGGGAGATCAGATCCTGACTAGGTTCAGGGTCTGTCAGCTATTTTGCATCTGTTTATAAATGGCTGGGAATTGCACCTCTTTATAAATTGCAGTAGCTGGTGGGAACTGACTGAATGAAATTTAGTTGTGTTTCCTTCAACTCTGCAGAAAGCAGTTTTGTTATGACCCCAAGGCCTTAGTATTCCCTCAGACAGGCTCTTCCTGACTACAGGTCTCTAATCTCTATTTTTTTAGAGCATTTCCTTTATAATGCAAATTGCAACTTGCAATTGCAGATTTTTTTCTGCGCCCTTTTGAAATATACATAAGTCTCCTTAAAAACTTCTTGCCAGTGCTATGACCCAGAGAATATCTGTCTCAAGAGCCTGACCCCATCCCCTTAAAATGTAATCCTCCTGGTGTCCCTGTGTCGCAGTCTCTGAAAAAGGGTAGGAATCTAACTTGGGTGAGGACCTTTACAACCTAGAGGTAACCTCCTGTCAGGATTTCATAAGAAGTTTTCTTTATTTTGTGTGTAAAGCCAGTTAGCAAACACAGATGCCCATGATTCCTGCTTCTGTTCTTAATTTTTTTCCAGCATTTTGTTTCGGGGTATTGAGCTCAGTCTCGCTGACCTATTGCATGGTCTTGAATAGAGTCTGTCTTGCTTCTTTCAATTTGCCCAATGCATGTTTTACTTTGCCATCACCTAATTAGCTGAATTTGTCATCTTACTCAGTGTCCACCCTTCCCACAGCAGGAGATGACCTGACTGCCCAGATATCCTTCTGGTACCTCAGAGAGACCATTATTTGAGAGGACGTGACAGTGTGAACGGTGTTCTCATTCCACATGTGTTTTCACTGCGTGTTCAAAGAATAAGATCAGAGGTTTTAAAAGATATTCTGTCGTGAAATTCAACAACTCCAATAAACATGCAGTTCCCCGGTCACGTCCTCCACCCGCAGGCCTGCACCAGCCCACCCAGTTTCCTGCCCTCTGTGACCTGGTGCTCAGGCCAGACATTTGTGTCCTCATTCTTTGATTTCTTTGATGTTTTTACAAATTCCACATGCCTGTCCTTAGAGAGTCAACAACCAGAACCTGGGAAATGGAAACAAATCTCTCCTCTGATTCTGTTTCCTTTCCTACTCCTTGTGGCCTGTAGGGTATTTGGCTAAAATCCTCGGAGACCCAGCCAGGGGTGGATTGTAGGTAAGCAGAGGTGGGAAAGGAGGGGGGCGGTCATGAAGGAATGGGGTCTTCTCAGAGTTCAGATAAGAAATTGTAAGACCTGCCGAAAGCAGTTTGGCTCAGTGGATAGAGCGTCGGCCTGTGGACTGAGAGGTCCCGGGTTCAATTCCGGTCAGGGGCATGTGCCTTGGTTGCAGGCACATCCCCAGTGGGGAGTGTGCGGGAGGCGGCTGGTCAATGTTTCTTTCTCATCGATGTTTCTAGCTCTCTATCTCTCTCCTTTCCTCTCTGTAAAAACTCAATAAAATATATTTTCTAAAAAAAGAAATTGTAAGACCTGTGGGTTTTGGGGGTGTTAGGCATTATATGGGTTCAGAGGAACCTAAGGGTACCATGAAGGAGGGCTCTTTTGTGGGGTCTCAGAATGAGGCTAAGAAATATGAGTGAGTACAGGACACTGAAAAAAGAGATAGAGGAAGACATAAACAGATGGAAGAACATACCGTGTTCATGGATTGGTAGAATCAACATCATCAAAATGTCCATACTACCCAAAGCAATTTATAGATTCAATGCAATCCCCATTAAATTACCAACAGCATATTTCACAGATATAGAACGAACATTCCAAAAATTCATCTGGAATAAAAAAAAGACCCCAACAGCATGCAGCAATCCTGAAAAAGAATCGACAAAGGAGGCAAGACCATACAATGGAGTCAAGACAGTCTTTTCAATAAATGGTGTTGGGAAAATTGGACAGATACATGCAAAAGGATGAAACTAGACCACCAACTCACACCATACACAAAAATAAACTCAAAATGGATAAAAGACTTAAACGTAAGATGGGAAACCATAAAAATACTAGAGGAGTCCATAAGCAGCAAAATAGCAAACGTATGTTGAAGGAATTTCTTCTCTGAAACTGCTCCTAGGGCAATGGAAACTAAAGAGAAAATAAA